GTTTTATTGGAGGTCAACCTTTCTTCTTCTGTGGTTTTTAAGTTTTATTGGAGGTCAACCTTTCTTCTTCTGTGGTTTTTAAGTTTTATTGGAGATAAATTCTTCTGTGGTTTTTAAGTTTTTTGGAGGTAAACTCTTCTTCTGTGGTTTTTAAGTATTTTGGAGGTAATTTCTTCTTCTGTGGTTTTTAAGTTTTTTGGAGGTAAACTCTTCTTCTGTGGTTTTTGTGTAGAAAGCGTCTCTGGAGGCGACTCTGGCTGAGACTCAGAACAGATACGCCATGAAGCTGAACAGCTATCAGATGCAGGTGAGACTCTTTTGATGTATGTTTAGGAGGTCAGGAGTAGAAATGGGCGGAGCTACAGTCTCACCTGTGCGTGGTCTCCAGGTTACGAGCCTGGAGGAGCAGCTGGTGCAGCTGAGGGCAGACATGGAGCGGCAGGGRTGTGATTACCAGACCCTGCTGGACCTAAAGACCCGGCTGGAGATGGAGATCGCAGAGTACCGGCGCCTGCTGGACGGAGAGGCCGCCAGGTGAGCCTCCACACTTTTCAGGATTCAAATCGAAGTCAGCAGGTGATGCAGAAGCTCAGCTAATCTTTGTTCTGATTGGTCCACAGCTCCTCGTCCTCCTCCACCACCACCACCAAGCGGGTGATGACGGTGGTGCAGGAGGTGGTGGACGGGAAGGTGGTCTCCTCCTCGTCTTCCACAACCTCCTCGTCTGTGACCAAGTGAAGCAGCCAATCAGCAGCTCCTCCTCGTTAACTCACCATCAGATGATTGTGTTTGTCTTCACTTCAACGAGCCGAACTCAAAGGAGCAGAAACCTCAGAATAAAGAATAAAAAAACAGGAAATAAAGGCAGGAAATCATCCAACTGCCTGTGTGTGTGTTTTAGTTGTGTGTCTGTTAGCAAAATATCTCGTGACCCAGTCAGAATTTTACTGCAGCTCTCAGAGAATAATCACTGGCTGTATGTCTTCAGCTAAAAGCTAAAAGCTAACAGCTCAGCCAGTTTTACAAACACTGAGCTGAAGTCTGAAGTGGTAGTAGCTGAGAGTCATCAGCACAAGGATCAAATGAGCAACGAGGATGACTCTCAACTACTACCACCTTACTGAATGAGCTGTATCTGTTAGCTGTATCTGTTAGCTGCAGCTGTTAGCTGTAGCTGTAGATGTTAGCTGTAGCTGTNTAGCTGTAGATGTTAGCTGTGGCGGCCATCTTGACTCCAAATGTTAACGAGCTGCTGCCACTTGATAAGTAGAACCTGTCCTGTGGTTCATGAGATATTTTACTAACACACAGAAAAACAAACTGTTTCATAAAGACCTGTTTCTGGTGCCTCAAAATAAATCTGTGAATCCAGCAAACAGCCTCTGAGTCAGTGAACTCACCTGGGTCGAGTCCTAATTCCTCAGGTGGTCCTGGGTCGAGTCCTGATCTCTCAGGTGGTCCTGGGTCGAGTCCTGATCCCTCAGATAAGTCCTGGGCTCAGTCCTGAGTCAGTGATGGGGCCAGGCTGCCCTCTGCTGGTCCTCTCAGAACACCTGTCTGTCCTCAGTACTCAGCAGGTCTGCAGGCCGCTTCACTCCCATCACAGCTCCTCCTCCTCRTCTTCATCGTCCCCCTGAGGCTCACTTTATTTTTATCTTCTATGMAAATCAGAAAACAAACAAATTCACACTTTTAATAAACCTCTCCAACAAAAAAGTTCAGACTGAAACCTTGATCCTGAGGTTTGGATCCTGAGCCAAAGAACCAGGTCCTGGATCCAAGCAGCTGAAAAGGTCCACAGGAGTCTGGTGAAGTGGTTCTGATCAGGATCCCTCCTGGACTTTGGAGGTTTTATAGACATGTCCCGCTGGGAAATCCTCTCTGGTCTGGGGACACTTGGGGTCCCCCAGGAGGAGCTGGAGTGTCTCTGGGGAGAGGGAGGTCTGGGTTTCTCTCCTGGACCACATTTTAACAAACATCATGGCTCTTCTATTAATCTAWGAACAGTTTCATATTCAAGGCGTGGTACAATCATAGTCCCTTCTTCCCAGCATTCAGTCATTAATCCAGCTGGTGCAGTGTCAGGGGTCTGCGTTAATCCAGTGATGAGTTATAATCTTCCTGCAGACCAGGAGAATCTTTAATAAGTATTTATATATTTGTGGTACCATGGTGGTTTCATYGGTCACTTCCTTTTGTTTTATGAAGGGTTCGTACGAACATGTCACGTCAGATTCAACAAACTCTTCTATCTTCAGGAAAACTGTRTAAATGAGCTGCGTAAACTGATGAACGTGCATCAGCTGCTCGTGCACGAGGAGAGGAGATTAGTATAATTACCACCCTAAAAACACCATATAAGACTACATTTCCTGTCCAACATACCAGGAAGTGTCCATTCATAAATGACATCACAAAGTAAAAAGAAGAACTTTACGATTTCAGAGATTGAAGTCCTGCTCTCAGAGATCCAGAAAAGAAAATCTGTCATTTTTAGCAGGTCAGCTGTGGAACTAAAGGAGCTGCTGAGTAATGAAATGATGACTGCTGTTAATGTTTTGTCTCCTGTGGGTCTTAATTTGACTCAAATTAAGTCAAATATTTCTACCAATGGAGTAACAAAATTTTACTTGGTAAGATTCTCGAAATACTTGATTTGACTCAATTGTTTCTTATTTCAAGAATCTTGCCAAGTAAAATTTTCTTACTCCATTGGTAGAATTTTTTTTAACTTATTTGAGTCAAATTTTCAGACTGACAAGACAAATAATCTTACACATTCTGAAAACAAGATGATTATTCTTACACAATCAGTTCTTGTTTAGTAAATCAGTCTGAAAACAAGATCAAAAAGAYTTTTTGGCTGATATAAGGTTTTAAAACTTGGTTAGGTGGACAGTTTTTGCAGTGCAGATCTGAAAGTTATGGAACACCAAGGACTTGTTTAGACCTGTATCTTGGCAGATTTTCAGAAAGAACTAGKACCACACCTGATCAAAAGAAAGTATCACCAAGAAGGGGAAGGAAACAATGCCAACAAAAGCTCAATGGACGAGGATTWTAGAAGAAATATTCTTGATGGATCATCCAGAGGCACGATTGTGGAGAAAATGGAAAAACTGAGTCTCTCTAAGACTTTAAATGCAGAATGRGGACTAAATAATAGACGTATTGTGAAACTGTCAAATCATATTCTCAACAGGCGGCTCTTTCTTCAATTTCTCTTTTATATATTTGCTAAAAAAAACACCAATAAAGGTTTAAGTGGGAAAAAAACACTTTCTGCTGCTCGGACCCGTCTAACACCTGTATTTTTCTGCTTGTTTCTTTTCAACTTGATAAAAATCTACAAGATGAGTCTTCCTGTTTCTTTATCTTTCCTGACAATACTTTAAATGTTTATACTGCCTCCCTGTCTCCATGTTCTGATCACAGATAAAACTCAACAACCAGTTTACAGCCTCCTCAACTGGTTTATTAGAAACTTGAATCCTTTTAAAAGCTTGTCTGGAGCCGGTCCAGGTGTGTGTAAATCGGCTTCATGTTTCCTGATGATAAAGATGAAAAACAGTTCGGTTCCTGCATGAATGGGTTGATTTGGCCCGCAGGAGACCTGTGACCTTTCAGCAACTTCACATCTTCAGTTTCATTAATATGCCCCCACCCCGGCCTCRGGCTGCTGTCAAACCTCCCAAACTTCACGAGGAGCTCATAAATCTGAAGCTTTTCATGTTCAAACAGAACGCTGAGGGCCAATTCCCATCTGAAAGCAAATTATCCCATCACTGAGAGGAGAGGAAGGTCCACCTGAAAGCTGTTTTTAAAATTGGAACAGAACAATTATCTCCTCTCAGCTTTGGTGAAAAAGTCACAAGAGTTTTAAAGGGATCCCCCTATCAGTTGTAACATTAGACTTAATTTAATAAACATTTATTTTAACTGTAAAATAAAGACTGTAAAAATACTGTAGGCGGTTTAGTTTTGTAAAATTTAAAAATATATATTTT